AGATCTCGGTGAGACCAAACCCCGCAAAGAGATGATGGGGTGCATGAAACTAAGAACTCCAGAGTCGATGCTGTGATCCTACTGGTCCACTATGAGAGAGGAGGTGAGCACAGCTCACCGGAGCAGGTTACACAAATCCATTGCATCTGGGGTGAAATATATGGTAAATACTTGGCGAGGTGGGCCAGTGAGCTGCGAGCATCAGGAAAAAGAACTGTTGACCTCCGTAAGATAGATTAATGGAGGCTTTCTCATACACAAGCGGTCCACTAGTGGGGAATCATAGCATGACTATTGAATTCGATTACTCTGTTTATTCTTTGCCCTCACACACGTTTCCTAACCCTCAGCCTCATACAAATCCAGACCACAAATAACATGATCTGAAAAGACCTCTTCCATACTCAAGTCAAGAAACCTCGGGCTCTTCGTAGTTTATACCCCTGCAGCATCAATCCCAACCTGGCCATAGAAACTCCTCGAAGTGAATAGAAGCAGACGGGCAAAGCGGACGCCCGGAGTGTCACTGTAGTTATGTGATTGGCCCTCAACCAGGAAGCTAATTAATGTACAAGGCTCAAAAGAACGGAACTACTCCGTAAGGAAACTGAGATTTAACCTCAGCCTAACTTTGCACGGACTGCCTACTGACTCCATAGGCAATTGGGCATAGTCCAGTCCGCAGTGTTCTGCATCAGACCATGATCCGATCGGCCCCCATTCTCGGTTGACTTTCCCTGAACGAGATAGCAACACGAGGTCATGTGGTTCTGGTAAGGCCCCGTGGGTCCGTGGCACTACCTGAGTTCCTGAGTTCCTTCGTTCCCTGTTTGTCATTAGGGGTGGCTTGTTCTGTACTCGTAGCGAGACATAACAATGGTACGCTTACAGACTTTTCAACATGGCGATGATGTCAATAGAAGCGATGAGGACAATAGGGAACGAGACCTACTCAGGAGAGTTGCGAAACTAAAGGTGCTCGGGATGATGAAGTTTAATTGACCTCAGGTCCGCCGATCAGCGCATGAGGTAATTAGAAGCCAAGTTTCCTTTTCACATAGCCTCCATGGACCGCTCCACCGAGGAACACAACGGGATGACCCTCCCGTCTGGATCCACTAGGTACCTTACGCTGTGGTGGAGACTGTGTCACGGATATTCATATTCGAATTGATGATATTGAAGGCATCAAGGGACATGAAACTCAAACCTCAGGGTAGTGCGCCAAATTGATGGTCTGGCCGGCAGAGTCTAGACTCGGACACACGACAGCTGCGACAGCTGCGACAGCAAATATGTACATTTCCCCCCGACCAGTATGGGTGATGACTGATGAAAGCTAGCTATTTATGTGCATACAGAAGACCAAGGATTACTTTAGTCACATGCTCTCTCACAGTGGGGCATGTTTCACAACAACATTCTTGACTGCTGGTGCTGATGCTATCCTCAAGGTCATCTGTCCATCTGTTGCGCTCAGCATGAACGATGGCGATGCCTGAGCAGTTGTAAGTAAACCAGACTACCAAAGTCAGAGTCTCCTCAGACTTTTGACTTGCGAGTCATCCACACTAGTGAACTGCACTGTGTAGCACAGTTTCCAATAAGATTGCCATACGCGAAAATGCTCTGAAAAGCGCACTGCTGTGGTTGGCAGAGATTTCCTGCGCTAATGGTAAATCTCCGGCTTGCCTGAACGAGTTATCCCGCTCACCGGCCGCATACCAATTACCTAGTTCAGACAAGGTGGTAGACATTCTCAGTCTGTCACTGCATCAAGAGACTGGACAGCTTGATACATACGGAGTACGGATTCTCATACGGTATCGCTTTCCTGTAGCCTGTACACTAGATAGACAACTACTAGTCCACCTCCTTGAGCCGGTGTTCCGATCATCATGATCACCAAGCTTAAATTCGTTAAGAGGCCATCAAAGAGAAAAAGTAAACTCTTGATCAATGGAAAAATCTACCCCTGGTAATGTATTCCTCCTGCAAGAAGCAACAATGAGGAATCAAAACCGCATTTCCAGCCTCTCAAGCCTCCTCGGGCAACTTCCTAGTCCCGTCGTTCGACAAGCTTAGTTATGAGGTGGATCAACCGTTTCGAATCCCAAGCCATAGAGCGGTAGGAGGTCCAAGCACTCGGAAACAATGCCACCCAATTATGGGGGCCTGGTCTTGTGCCCCGTTCCCTTCAAGGCGAAAAGGAGGGAAAGTTGAGGAAGAGATCGAGTGATCGGACGGATGACGACCGCTGGAGATGAGTATGTTTGCCTACAAGGACATAAGGGCACATGGAAATACGGTCAGTTTGTCAGAGGGTGTATGTACTGAATGAGTCGACAGCGCAGTGACGGAACTTCGAATAATACTGGGATAGTTCATGGCTAGAGCAAGGAACGCTGCGGATGAACTTGTTACAGAGTGATCAGTACGGAGTGGATCTGTCACCAGTCAAGAACTGGCCAGGAATGGAGGGGAAAGGGTGCCTTTTTGGTTTTAGCGACGATTCCCTGTCCTCGGAAGTCTGTGCGAGTCGATCTGGCCCACTTTTCCCCAGATTGTCAGTAGGACGGCGACGACGACGACGACAACGACAACGACAACGATGATGATGATGATGACGGGGATAGTAAAGGACGCAAAAGCACAAAAACTGCATGTTTCCAGAACTTCTCTTCTGTGGGTTGTCTGCCCTTGACCGCCATCACGACCAGGAGGGACAAATTAACCATCATTTATCCCCTGGTCAGAAGAAACTGGAGTCAGGCTGCATGATTTGATCCATCAGGTGCGTCACTCCCACTGAATCCAGCACCAGCCCCCCTCAGTACTAGGAAGAAAGCATTGCTGAATCTGAGACAGAGTCGAGGTGGTAGCGTGGGGGAGTAGCGTCCAGCTGAGCCTGAGCCGTGTCCGTCCTATTCCTGCTAGCATGCATGTAATTCTTAGTCATTACCATTGTTTCTCTAAGAAGAAGAAGATCGACGACGGTTGAAATCTAGTCAAGTATCAGTGAGCAGCCAGTTTCAATTTCTGATGATCAAGGCCATTGCAGACTTCACAGAGGAGTCGACTACTGTTTGAATCTTTCAATGGCTTCTCTCCGTTATTCGGGATCTCTTGCCCATAAAGTATGTAGTCTCCTGACACAAGACTATGAGCTGCCCCCATTAATGCCAACTGTAATATTACCCAAGATTCTCATCTTCATTCAATCGAAGGTAGTCTTCTCATGGTGGATGCAGGGATGAATCTGGGGAAACAAGGCCAGTTGCCAACCGAGATGCATCATATTATTCTCGTAGCCAACGACAGCGTCGAGGATCATCCGCCGTCGTCACCCGTGCATTTGGGATTTGGGAGCGATCAAATCCCCAAATGAACCTGTGAGCGTGTTTTTCTTATTAATAAATATTGATCAACCTTTGCTTTTTAGTTATTTATTTATTTATTTATTTTTAATTTTGAAATGTCCATCAAGTTCCAAGGTTTCCCTCACCTTTCCGGAGTGCGTCTGATCCTCGCGATGGCTTTGGGCTTGGGCTCCAGGTTGCCTCGTTGCTTTTTCCTACCGAGTAGATACCCCGTACTTAGGGATATTCCCCAATCCTCCAGTGAACCAATCACTTGGGTACGTCCAACATGCTTGGCAGCCTGTTTTCTCTCTTCCCAAGTTCCCATAAACACCCCCCCGCATGTTAGAGTTTAGGCAGGCAAGGTGGTGAGGCAGAGAACGTCAACAAGAGAGAGACTGTCATCTGGACAGTAGGTAGGGGTAGATACTCAGTACGGAGTAGGTAAGTTGGTACCAAGATCAGTTGACTGTTGATGGTTGGTTGTTCCAGTGATCAGGGTTCATACGATTCAGCATTCATAGCTCTGGTTAGTATTTGCCTAGTCTGGGCGTCTTTCCCCACTGGGTTTCTATACTTGCATATGGAAGTACGTACAATCCCATAGAGCATAGAGAATACTACCTTACTAACTTGACTTGATGAGGATTGTCATTCTTGTTGGTAGCTTTACTTTTCAGTACTAGAGTTTGCCTTAAGTGCCTGTAATTAATCTTTTACTGACTGCTTCATTCCTCGTTAATTATTACTAGATAGTATTCGGATCAGAAGAATACCTCACCTCATTGCTGAGGATTACCTCTTAGTGGTAAAGACGAAGTAGTATAATATACCTCGCAATCCACCCCCATTTCCCTCAGTTTCTCCCTTTCCTCGAGTCTTCTTTCGCTCTCTTGCTGGCCTCTTGACCCGTCGCCAATCGCAAGTTGTTGACTTGCTGCTACTAAAGTAGTTCCATCTCCACCTCTCATCCACTTTAGTCCACAGGCAGGTGCACCCACTGTGATCACCTCTTACAACCACTACTATCCAGTACGCCTACTACGACTTCGACTAGAAGATACAAAATGACTAACAATGCTCACAGCCAACTGTACGCAGTAGCTCGAGTCCTCAAGGCTTCGACTTTCTGGGAGGCCACCCCTGCATCCATCGCTGCCTCCAACACCAATCTACTTCCATCGCAGCCAAGTCGGCCGACTCCCCACTCACCAGGAAGTCCATCATTAAAAATCGAAAATAAACTCCTTTTACCTGCATATTATTGAAGTTTCGAACACATCCACTGGCCCCATCTTGCAACTCGGTGGTTCGATTCGAGGTTTCAAAGTTACTAAGGTACTAAGGTACTACCACATACGTACAGCAAATCCCCCAAAATCCCCGGTCGCAAAGGATAGACTCGTGCTGTGTTGGATTACCCCTCTTCTTCTTCTTCTTCCTCCTCCTCTTCCCTCTCTTCCCTTCACTCACTTCTCACCACCCAATCTCCGTCTGTCCTTTTTGTGACACCATCCCTGGGGGGGCGGGAACTGCGCCCTCAAACTGCAAGAAATCATCGACTCCGGCAAAGGAAGCCAAGCAGATCTAGAAACCCCAACCCTCGTCCAAGTCATATGTGGACCGGACCACATTCTTTCAATGTTGTCCATGCAAAAGACGCCCGCCTTCATCCTGCCTCCAACTGCGAATCTCGACAGCCATAACCATCATGGCATCCAACCCAACCCACCCGTGGACCACCGCAACTCCACCCGCGCGCTGAGTTTGTCCGAAATCCCCGCCTTTCCCGATGGCCAATCCATGGACGATGCGCTCTCCCACCATGAAAGCATCAGCACCGATGGCACCTCCAACGATTCTCCCGAGTCTTGGGATGGGGGAAGCCACTCCGATGGCACTCCCTCGGTCGACTATGAGATCAAAATTCACGACGCTTCGTACCCGTTCGTCGACTCGACGTTTCCCCGGCTCCCTTCCTCCTCTTCCTCTGCGACTGCCTCCGCCATCATGACAGCCGGCTCGAAACATTTCCAGATTAACTATGTCGCTTCCAATAATTCAGATGAATCCATGGCCGATGATGTGACCCCTAAGGTCGAGGAGATCGATGGTGTGGACGATTTGCAGAGCATCAAACCCCTCGAGGTGGAGCCCGCGATGGCCAGTGCGAGCAGTACTACCACACCCACGGCCGCTCCCGTCAATGTACCACGGAAACGTGGTCGCCCACGCAAACATCCGCTGCCAGTTCCCGGGGGCCAGATCAAGATCACCAAGGGAAGATCCAAGACGGGCTGTATCACTTGTCGACGACGGAAGAAGAAGTGCGACGAGACAAAGCCATCGTAAATACCCACCATTCACCCTCGAGTGTTCGCATGCGTCGCAACGATCAGCTAATTTCGTCTTCCAGGTGTTTGAACTGCCAGAAGAATGCGGTGGTGTGCGAAGGGTACCCTCCCAAGGAGATCTGGAAAAGCGGTAAACAGAAGATGGAGGACGGTAAGGCCCTGAATATCCCTGTGACGTGGCTCAAGTGGATATCTTTCTGACCCATTCATATTGACACGCAGCGGCACGGACCAAAGCGCTCGCAGCTGTACCGCGCTCCCTACCTCTGCTCATCGACGGCGTGGAAACCGAGATCGACCGACGATTCCTTGATCATTTCGTCTACGGCTTCAGTCGCGTGTTGACATTAATCAACGATGACACCAATCCGTTCAAAGAAATCCTCCTTCCCATGGCCGCGCAACATCGAGGGCTGATGCACTCGCTCATGTGCCTGTCCGGTTCACACCTGTCGGCGTTGAGTCCAGAGCCCGAGCTGAAGGAGCGCAAATTCTACCATTTTCACCACGCTATTCAGGATCTCAAAGACAACATCATGTCGTCGAGTATCAAGTCGTCGGGAGATTCCCAGGAGCCGGAGCTTCTGGTAGAGGATCCAATCATCGCATCGACCATCGCTCTCAGTCTCAATACGATCTGCGAAGGGGAGACCAACGGCGAGTACAGGCCGCACATGGATGCTGCGAGGTATCTGCTGGTGACCCAGCAACCACGAAACGAGAAATTCCGGCAGTTCATCGTCGAGTTCTTCCAGTATCACGACGTGTCCAATTCGATCACCTCTCTGGACCGTCGCCCCGCCCTCCGGAGTGATGACCTAAAGCTTCCCGACTTTGTGCCTCAACAGGCGGGGATGTTTCTCGGCGTGTTCGACGGCCTGTTCAACTATATCTCCGATGTCACAAGGCTGCGCGATCGCATTCGGCAGCGATCAAACGAAGGATACGAGCCTGCCGTTGACTACCAGATTTTGAGCGATGCCGTCTCGATAGACTCGGCCATCCGGGCCTGGGAAACATCTCACCCCCCCGACACACCAAATTGGTTCCTGGCACAGCTGTACCGTCAGTCGACATGGGTCTATCTGTACCGCACCATCCGTCCGTCCAAGCCAAGTGATAAGATTGCTCAAGTGGTGGATGATGGTCTTGCCTTCTTGGATCAACTGCCGCAAGATTCTGGAGCCTTTAGCATCGTACTGATGCCCTTGTTCCTCCTTGGTTGCTCGGCATTCCTTCCTCGTCAGCGAGACCGGATTCAGAGAGGCTTCGAGTCCCTCAAGGCTTACTCCAACCTGCGTAATATCGAGCCCGCTTTCAAGGTGGTTCGGCGGGTATGGGAGGTCATGGACACCAAAATCGAGGACAGCTGGGACTGGGAGAAGATCATCAAAGATATGAACATGGACTTCCTCATCACCTAGCTTTTGCTTTCCCGTCCTTCCTTGTTTCAGTCAATATTCCCCCTTGCATTCTCGTGAATTTGTGATGATATATGTACGTTATTCACGATTTTCTTTCTTCTTCGTTATGTTCTGGTGTGGGAGCATCCGCCATGGTCGGGATGACACATACGGCGTTCTGTGATCAAACATCTGCATCGGGGGTTTTCTGGGGTTCAGCGGTAGGGTCTGGTCTGTCTAAGCGGGCGATGTAAGGACACCCTACAAAGTGCCGAATCGGGTTTTGTGGAGGTGTTTGAGCAATAGCGGCAGGGCAACGTCCATATTTGAAACCAAAAAAGGAGTCGGTTGATGGTGCGCAAAATGCTGTTGTCCTATTTTCTGTTGATTTGTATCCTGCCTGTATTTGTATGCATTGAGTGTATGTCCTTGATGAGTTGCATTTCTTTGCTGATGTGATATCCAATTGATACCAAGCATATTCATTTATTTGCCACTTGTTTCACTATATGGACAATGATCTGATACCGCAAGTTATATACATGCGTTAATGCAAGATATTACTCGATTAGTCTTGATGAATGATGAATTGGACTGAAGTGAACAATCCCTAATTCATCCAAGACATTATTGCTACATAGTGGCATGTATCTGGGGGTACCTATGGAGTATCTACCGCCGGTTCTATCACCAGGACTACGGGCCAACTTCTTGACAAGAATTCCTCTCCGTCTATCTAGTTACCTATTGCCTATTGAAATGTTGACCAGCTGCCAGGCACACGTCGATATATAGTTGTCATGTGACAATGAAGTTTGTTTTGGTCGCCACCATCTCAATTGAGGTATCGTCAACTCTCACTGTGGTCATCGCACAACATCCATCATCGCATCAGATCATCTAGAATCGACACATCCGATGTCAGATACTGCCAAAGTGTCAAGGATGACCGACTTTAGTAGAAGTGGGTCGAACCCCGAACTGCAGAATAATGGAGCCCATAACAGAATGGCTCTACTTATCTTAAAAAAGATAGCGTTCATTCGATCCTGACTGGTAAATATTCACATGCTAGGTATAATTCCAGTGATCGATCTGAGAACAGCCCTGTTCGTCACAAGTCACGACAATAAATTCGAGACCTGGTCGACTTTACTAGAGACCTGCTCTAAGCGAAGGACTAAGACAACGGGACGACTCCATCCGAACTGTCAGCAGCCAATGGCACAATGACCAGCCGTTGGTCCCAGACGAGTCCCGACTCCCAACTCCAACCAGACTAAATGAGCTTTTTAGAGGCACCCCAGGGGCTTAGGCGCCTATCGACGAGATGTCTTACCCCATGTTCTTGGCCGTTGGGCAAATTCTCACCGTTTGCGTTCAGAGGAGGACATTTTGCTTGTCCGTGATTGTTGATACAACGAAATCTGGCCACTTGTGTTGTCTCCCCCGCAGCAAGCCTGTTCGGGCTGTGAGCCGGGACCCAGGATGGAGAAAGATGACGAGCTGATCACGGAGCTGAAAGACCCCGAAGACCTCGTCATTGCCGAGAGATTACAAGACCGAACCGCGACATTCAACTTGTCCCTGCGCGCCGTCAATCCGGTCGATGTATGCGTTAAGGGTCTATCGCTGGAAGTTGACACGACGCCCCCAATATGGGAGACGCCGCCGTCACAGATATGGCGTCGGCTCTGCGGGAAGAAGGTGGACGTCCAGACACATAAAACTGTCCTCGACAGCGTCGACGCATCCATGCCTAGTGGGAGTCTAACGGCGATTATCGGTAGCAGTGGGTCTGGCAAGACATCGCTGCTCAACCTTATGGCTGGTCGGATGAGCTTGACCAAGGCTAAAGTCTCCGGGGCGACCACCTTTAACGGGGTCGCGGGCATTGAGGGGATTCGCAGCGCATATGTCATGCAAGAGGATGTGCTAATTCCCACCCTGACGGTTCGAGAGACCCTGCGGTATTCGGCGGATCTGCGATTGCCGCCGCCAGTGACGCATGAGGAGCGCCGTCGGATTGTCGAGCAGGTGATATTGGAGCTGGGGCTGAAGGAGTGTGCCGACACGCGGATTGGGACAAACACACATAAGGGCTGCAGTGGAGGGGAGAAGAGGCGGACGAGCATTGGCGTACAGATGCTGGCGAACCCGTCGGTGGTCGGTGTGTTGTTCTGCGACGAGCCCACGACGGGACTGGATGCAACGAGTGCTTTCCAGATAATTCGGACTCTGAAAAGGCTCGCGGAGGACGGTCGAACCGTCATCGTTTCGATCCATGCCCCCCGCTCCGAAATCTGGAGTCTCTTTGACAATGTGATTCTTTTGGCACGGGGATCCGTGCTGTACAGTGGACCGCTTCGGGACTCCCTGCCCTATTTCGAGGCGTGCGGTCATGTTCTGCCACCGTTTGTAAATCCAGCTGAATTTCTGATCGACCTTGCGGCTATTGATAACCGGACGGAGGCGCTCGAGGCCCTGTCGACGGCCCGAGTGGAGCTTCTCAGAGCTGCCTGGAAGTCTCGAAGCTCAGACAGAAAACCAATCGAGCAGCCTAGGCAGGAAAGCAAGACGTCTATTGCGTCGGGTTTAGTTACACCTATAAATAAGGCAGTGCCCTTCGGTCAGCAGTTCCGTGTTCTGACCTCTCGGACCTTCACGACAACAATCCGAGACCCTCTCGGCGTGGCGGGAAGTCTTCTGGAGGCCGTGGGGATGGCTGTCATCAATGGCTGGATTTTCTTACAACTTGATGAGAGTCAAGCTGGTATTCGATCGCGACAAGGCAGTCTGTATACAGCAAGCAGCCTCAACGGATATCTGATCCTTCTTTATGAGACGTATCGTCTGACAATCGACATACGTCTATTCGATCGCGAGAGAAACGAAGGCGTCGTGAGCGTCCCGGCCTTCTTGCTGAGCAGGCGTGCGGCGCGGCTCCCTCTAGAAGACCTGCCTGTGCCTGTTATCTTCGCGATAATATACTACTTCATGGTCGGATACCGGCTCAGCGCGGGCCAGTTCTTCATCTTCTTGGTTCTGACTATCCTCACTCACTACATTGCCGTTACCTTTGCGGCCGTCTCGATTGGCGTCGCCCGCAGCTTCCCCGGTGCGAGTCTTGTGGGCAACCTCTCATTCACCCTACAGTCGTTCGCGTGCGGGTACTTTGTACAGTCGAACCAGATCCCTGTGTACGTGCGGTGGCTAAAATGGGTGGCATATACATTCTACATTTTCGGTGCCCTGTGCGCCAACGAATTTATCGGGCCTAGCGGGCCCCCAGAGGGCCAGTTCTACGATTGTCCATATTCGACGGACCCATCGGATCCCGCATGCACGCAATACACGGGTCGGTACATTATGGAGAACCTGGGGTTCCCGTCGAACTGGATCTGGCGGCCTATTGTGATCCTCGTGGCCTTTGTGATTGGTCATTATCTACTCGCTGCCTTGTTGCTCCAGTACAATCGCTTCGCCATTGACATCGCGCAAGCGCGGAAGACCGACGTAGATTTATCCGCGGGTAAAGAGAAGTTTGCCGAACGTCGCACCGAGGAAGCTCGTCCTGTCACTATCACGCTGGACAAGTATGCTTTAGAGATCCGGAAACGCCAGGTCTTTCGCCGGGGATCGCGGACGCTACCCATCCTCAAACCCATCACCGCCGAATTCCAGCCGGGGCAATTGAACGTCATCATGGGCCCGTCGGGTAGCGGGAAGACATCGCTGCTCAACTCTATTGCACGGAGGCTAAGGGGTTCATTGGGGACACAATATCGACTGCAGGGAGACATGCTCTATAATGGTGCTGTCCCTTCGGAGAGCGTGGTCCGGTCGGTGACATCTTTCGTCACACAGGATGACGACGCACTGATGCCGTCGCTGACGGTGCGCGAGAGTCTCCGTTTCGCAGCTGGCCTGAGGCTGCCCCAGTGGATGTCGCGCGAGGAGAAGAACCAGCGAGCGGAGGAGATTCTACTCAAGATGGGATTGAAAGAATGCGCGGACAATCTGATAGGGAGCGAGCTCATCAAGGGCATCAGCGGCGGGGAAAAGCGACGAGTCACCATCGCCATTCAGATCCTAACCGACCCTAAGGTGCTGCTACTGGACGAGCCTACCAGCGGGCTAGATGCGTTTACAGCCACATCCATTATTGACGTCCTCAAAGCGCTGGCAGCGGAGGGCCGCACCCTGATCATGACCATCCACCAGTCACGGTCGGACCTGTTCCAGCACTTTTCGAATGTCCTGCTACTGGCCCGAGGAGGATACCCCGTGTATGCGGGTGAAGGCGAGAAGATGCTCCCGTACTTCCGGTCCTTGGGATACGAGTGTCCCAAGACCACGAATCCTGCTGACTTTGTTCTGGATCTGATCACGGTCGACCTACAGCAGGAAGATAGAGAAGCGCTGACCCGCGAGCGCGTGCGGAAGTTGATCACTAACTGGGATGGTCAACGACCGGAAGAGGGCCGGCGCCCGTCACAGATTGCGACTCCGGCGGAACTTGGGAGCTTGAAGAGACTGATGCTTCCTTTTCGGATCACGTACCCATTGGTGCTGCACCGTGCCGCGATCAATTTCTGGCGCCAGCCGCCGTTGGTGATGGCCCGGTCAATGCAGGTGGTAGGGATCGCGATCATCATGGCCCTGTTCTTTGCACCGTTGAAGAATGACTATGCTGGCGTGCAGTCGCGGATGGGTTTCATCCAGGAGTTTGCTGCGCTGTATTTTGTCGGTGAGTGCTTCGCCCGATGGAGTACTACGCTTTAGGTTCATGATGCTAATGAGGTAGGGATGCTGCAAAATATCGCCATCTACCCGAACGAACGGGACGTCTTCTACCGGGAGGAAGCGGACAATTGCTACTCTGCCGAGACTTTCATTCTACAGTACACAACGCTAGAAGTGCCCTTTGAGGCGATCTCTTCGATCATCTTCGGGGTGCTCGCGGCCTACGCGGATAACCTGGAACGCAGCGCCAAGATGTTCCTCATCAGCGCATTCAACTGCTTCTGCATCATCAGCTGCGGCGAGTCTGTAGGAATCATGTTCTGCACGCTCTTCTCGCACGTCGGATTCGCCGTCAACGTCACATCCATTCTCCTGTCTATCTCCACCATCCTGGGTGGCGTGATGAGCCTGAACGTCAACGACGTCCTTCAGGCGATCAACCACCTGTCCCCGATCAAGTACGCAATCGCCAACCTGGCGCCGTACGCGATGCACGACCAGCATTTCACATGCACAGCGTCGCAGCTTCTCGCGGATGGGACCTGCCCGATCCAAAGTGGGAAGCAGGTGCTGCAGCTGTACAATCTCGACAAGAACGGGCCGATGAACGTGATGGCGCTTGGCGTGTGCACGATCATTTACCGATTGGTGGCGTATGCGATGCTCAAGGTGCTGCGTGAGGGATTTTGGCGTCGACTGCGGTAGGTGACTGACATCATCCGTAAGTTATTCGTGCTTTGTATCTCAGGTCGTTATTAGTAGTGGTAGCTACTCGCCAATGAGAAACCGTTGCCAGACAAGAGGACTCACGGGATGACTTCTACATTCAGATGCGTAGACGATGGCCTGGAAGAGTAGTCTAGACCACACCACTCTCCATCCGAAATCCAAGCAGGGATCGGTGTGGATCCTCACTGCACCAGTAACACTACGATGCATCTGCGTCTGCTTATTAACATTCCCTGTACAGAATACGGAGGACCAATCAATATCCAGTCCATTCCTTCCAGTCGAGGGGAGGGAAATTCCCTCGACACTGAGGTGGTGAGTAAGAGAAAATCAGGCATCAAGGCAACCATTCCATACTGACCAATCAATCAGACGTCCGGATAAGGTTAGTACCAAGGCAATATCTGCACTGCCTTATCTCAGCACTGACTGTCATTGACACCGGCTCATTGGCTAGAACCAGATCCACCAGAAGCCAATGGGACTAGACCGGAGTAGATCCTTGGCTGTTGTTCCACTGTGGCGCTGAGGTACGTAGCCTACTCCATTTTACTTGCAGACTGCAGACTGCAGTTACGGAGGACATGCTTGGATACGGTCCACTCCCCTGCCTTGCTTGCTTTGTTTGAATCTTGGTGGTGGTAGCCTGGTAGCCTGGTACTTTCAGGTAGTGGTTGTGATGAGACCGGCAGGCTTAGCGTGATTGAGAACTTTTACTTTTAGCAGAGGAAGATATTTTGTAATCATTGATATTTAACAAGTCTAGTCTATATTTCCCGTGCATACATGTCTGCATAACTTTTTTATCATCTATCGTATAGCATAAACATGAACATGAACATAAACATGAATCGTAGCCTGTCACTCGACCTGTTCGACAGGGAGAGCAGCTAGCGGTCTCATGACAAAGAGAGAGTGAACTCAACCAGGAGTCAGAATATGTCCCGGTATTTTGAGAGTAACAAAAAGAGAAAGAACAAAGCTCCACATGTTCAGGGCCTCAATTGCATCAAGCAAGAGTGGGGGTGACCAGTGGCCGGGTATAGTCTATTGTTGGACGTCGGCTCGCCGACGTCTTGTTGCTTGCTTGCTTGCTCGCTTGACAGGACCAACTCTAGTTTCCAATGTTCAGGACGAAAGAGGTGTTGATAGGGCAGCCGTGGGTGGCATGGTCGTCCTTGGGCTGCAGGTAGGCCTCGGCGCAGGCAGTGTCACCGGCCTTGCAGTTGACGGAGGGGCAGTTGCCGCCGGACTGGGAAGGATCGACGGTGAAGCCGTACTTGGTGAACTCCGAGTTGGAGCCGAGATTGATGCAGGACATGTCCCAGTAGATGGTGTCGCTGGACTGGGTGTACTCGAACTGGAGGACATCGGACTGGTCGGGCGTGGTGGAGAGCTTGATGGAGACGCCGCCGCCGTTGGGGTTGGTCTGCCACTGCTCGGAGTAGGAGCCGCCGCCCGCAGAGAGGGTATGCATGTCACTGACTCTATCAGTGACTGACCACGCGTAGACGGTTTGGCTCAGGTTGTTGACGATCTTGACGCCGCCTCCGGAGGAGGAGGTGGAGTTGTCGCTGCGCTGGATGACATGGGGCAGAGCAGTGGTGAGGGTAGCGAAGGCAGCAGCGATGAAGGCCTTGGTGAACATCATTTTGACTGAGGATGTAGAGACTTGAAGAAATTGTTCTTTTAATTGTTTTTTTAAGACAAATAGGTCTGTTCGACAGACAAGTGATAGTAGTAGTCAAAGATCGACAAGTGAATGAAGCAGTCGAATGACTGAAAAGAAAGGAATGTCACTAGGACGAAGAGAAAGACAACTGACTTGATGATCAAGAGAGTGTTGTTTGATGATGAAGGAGGCCGGAATACCCGTCGCAACGGGGGTTTATATAGCTTCAGATGTGATACCGGAGGCAAGCCAAAATTGCCCGTTTCGGGATAGTCAGGGTCGGGGACCAGATGGCAAAAGTTTTGTATGGATCCGGTAGGTACCATGAGCACACGAGAGGTGAACCAGAAAGCTGACAACGTGGCTGTTGGAACCTGGACCAGTGGATCACTGCTGGATCCATCAGAGGTTTGAACAATCGAAGCCTGAAAGAAGAAGAAGAGAATGAAAGAGCTCCACTGCATCCATAGCCGGAATCAAAGAACTCAGTTTCATTGCCTCTTTAGAGTGTCGTGTGAGACTTGGTTCAGTGACCAAATATTCATATCATTAATTCAGGGCAGACTTTTGAAGTCCCTGGCGATGTTGCATTGAGCCAATCAGACATCACGGCAACACCCATATCTGCACCACTAAGCGAGATACATGCAAGGTTAATGACTCAATATACACTTCATTTTGACCTCATTCAATGGATGAGACTGCTCGATGAGCTGAAAATCATGCAGGAAATATTATCATCACCATCACCATCAATAATAATCCAAAGTAGTTTTGCTTGTATTGCTGTATTGCTGTCTGGACACCAACACCCCGCACAATGTGGCTGATTGTCTACCTTACCAGGGGTATCTACATGTCCAGACTCCAGCCCCAGGGGAAAAGAGGAGGTTGTGATCTATGGTTCGGCCTCTTAGTTCCCTTTTTCTGGAACGCAAAAATCTCAGTGCCTTGAGGGTATTCCCATGGTTCACTGAAGTCTATTTGGTCGTTCGGCAAAGCTTTGTGGAAGCGTGGCATTATCAAATGGGTTGTAGATGTATCTTTGGTATGGCCAAAAGCGTGGCAATACGTCTGACTGTCGGACAAAGTGCGTGCATATTACTCCGACTTACCCGATGATCTCCCGACTCTCTCTGTCAACTGGCTATACTGCTTGTTTGGTTCCGAAGAAGGCAAATCCCACCACGTTCACAGTCATCAACCTTGGCACTTCAGGCAGACAAAAGAGAAATTATTGAAAACTCTTCTAAGCGACCCAAATCTCAGTCCTCTTTGTCAGTCTCCTTGCCTCTCACAGATTGACTCTAGTCTTGGCCTGGAAGAACAACCTTCCACCCTTCTTTCACATTCTTTTCCTCGGTCTTTTTCTTTCTCCCAGTTCCCGACATCTCGGAACCAGAGTGTATCTGAATGAAAACTCCCATGCTTACAAAATGGTCAGCGCAGACAATCGACTTGGCATGGTCAAGATTGACATATGTCTACGTAGACACGCACTTTCCTCCACTTTCCAGCCACTGACGTGCGACGCCAGATCCACTGCCCCAGTTCAAGTCTCAACCTCCAATTATCCCCTTCTCAGAGACAGGGCTCCAGTTCCCCGAAAATTGGAGAGTTAAGACTCGAAAAAGGGTCCTTGTCCTCTTGCCCCTCCGACCCCTCTAGCCCCTCTTTCACCATGCGCAGATCCCGAGTTCTAGAATCCGTCCTCCTTCCTCCAGGCTTTGGTCCCAGGCTTTGGTTCCAGGCGTTCAGGGTCGAAACTTGAAATGCCTCACTTGTCGTTGCCCCTGTTCCTACCTGGGAGTGTTTGGTGCTCTTAACTCTAAATCTCTACACCCTTGTCTAAGCCAAAAGGTCTCTCGCCCAGTGGTACGGTCAAAGTGGTACATTGTACTCAGTGGTATAGTCCAAAGCACAAGTGAGAACAAAATTTGGTATACTCGCATGAACGAAAAAGAAAATGAATAAACAAAGGGAGATCCTTGCCTTGGATATTGAATACTCGGCCCCTCCCAGCCAACATAGCATACGGTAGTAAAGTCACACAGTCACACAGTCACACTACGTAGTGGGCACGATGCCCCGCCAGTTCCAAGTTGATTTGTCGGTGGATGTGCACAAGCCAGTCCACATAGCTCTGCGCCTCGTTGTTGCGATCCTCCAGCAACAGTCGCGCAAATTCGTACTCGGCCCCGTCCAGTCCCTGCCGTGCCAGCTGGATAGCCACCGCCTTCGATCCTCGGATGGTTGACAAGTACTGGAGCAGATTCCGCACCTGCGCATTCAGGTGTGTCTCCAGCACGGGTAACGACGACATCTGCGGGTTGAGCCCTTGCAGGGACGTTTGCCCGGGTCCAAACAGATCCTCAAGCAGGTTGGGCGAAACTTGTGAATGAAGCCATAGTAAAATCGTCTGTCCGTTGTCTACCAGGTACGCTCCGCCCTCCTCGATCTTGGAGTAGCTGGCGCGAAGCGCGGGTGGTACCTGCAATTGCCCCTGTTCGTTCGGGAACCCATCCTCCAGTTGCATGTTGTGGATCGGGATGATCCGGGGATACAGGTACAGTGACAGCTCTGTGCATCCTATGGATCGTAGCATCCGAATTTCATGAATCCGCCGATCGGACGATTCCTGGCCACCTGTTGTCCTGTTAGCGGCGAATCCATAGTTGCAACCGTAGTATAGCTCACCCTTGAACGCCCTCGATTTGATCATGCTGAGCATATACATGGAAAACTCCTTGAGATTCTCCGGTAACACGAGCTGTCCCGGAGGATGCGATCCGGAAAAGATCTTGCGGTATCCGCTAAAAATATCCACCGTCTTCTCCGTGATGCTGGCCCGGATGTCTTTGAGTGGTTTGTCGAGCGTTTTGGCCGCCGCTGCCGGACCATTAGCATGCGCATGTCGCGGAACCTTTTGGTCTGTGTGTTGAATACCCACCTTCCTTGGCCATAATGCTGACAACTGCGTCCTGGTCAACAAACTTCATCGTCTCCAAGCCCCCTTCGTTGACAGCCGCCACCGTGTTGATGCACCGCACCCTACGCTGCCCGTTGGCTGATGTGTACAACAACGCAGCCTGAAAGTGAGCATCCAGCTTGGGGTCCAGTTTGCCATCGTAGCTGAAGAGAACACCAATTGCCTTGTCTGCATCGATAGCTCCGATCTCGAGATCGGCTCCAAACGTATGCTGTACAAAGTTTCCGTGATAGGCCGACACCTGAAGGCCATTCGAGCAACGGACCTTCATCAGTGCCTGGAAGCCGGTTTCACGGGTGACCGAATGCGCCAATTCCCTGGAAAGTTTCAGGATGTCGCGCGGCGAATGGAAGTTGGGGTAGAAGAATGTCTCGCCGCCAGTGACCTCAGTGACATGTCCTGATAGGGTTGTCAGCACAACGCCTCACATCCAGGCAAAAGAGACTTACCAATCGTGGCAACGTCCATATAAGTCCCATTAGGTGCCGCGATGAACATGTCCACACCAATACCAGCTCCCGCCAGTTTACCGGCTGTCCCTCTCCATGCTGCATTGTCTGTGGTAAACAACTTCCGTTCCGCATCCGTTCCATGGACCTTGGGGTCTTCCCGCCGCACCAAAGCCCCAGGGCCCCAAGTGGGCAAGGTGGACACGGCACAGACGATTTTCCCTCCCGTGGCTTGTAGAGCGGAGAGAGCCGCATTCAACGTTGGAAGCAGTGCAGGCTCAGGCTTCTTGCTGTGGGCGAAAATCTTCGGGATTTGCTGCAGCAGACCGGTGATTACGTCCCTAGAAAAAAAGTCGGTCAGTCACCTTGAACGAATCCTGCAGATTCAGGGCTCGCACTTTGATTCGTAAGGATCCACGAAAAGTCCCTCGCTCAACGGCACAAACGGTTCGTCAAGGTCCGTCATCACCATCATCTGCGCTCCGTCAAGTTGTGCCTACGTCGGTCAGCATCTGCAGGAATCAAGAGCGACCGCAGGAACATACACTTAGATTGTAGAATTGCACCTCTCGGTCGAACGTGACAATACCAATCTTTGAGCCTTCAGGAATCCGTCGCGATGGTGATGTTTCGTCCTCTGGATTTTCAGACCCTTCTGTGCTGTACAGAGCCTCCATGATACCCTTGCAAACACCCTTGAGGAATCCGCGGCTGATTGATTCGTGACTGACATCAATCAGGAACAAATACCGTAGACCAACGGGCTCCTTGTTCCAGTAATCCTTTGGTACCAAGAACTCGACCGTACCCATCATCAGTTCCGGACGTTGCATGCGGTCCACGCGCGCTCCTGACGGGTCGAGAGGGGCAAAGTACTCTGCAGGGACGTCGTTGGGAAACGTGCACATATTGCAGATGAACTTGTTGCCTCCGGACTTGAATGTCATGAAGGGGTTGATGTACGTCCTGCATCTTCGGCATCGTGGAGGCCCAGCGTCTCCAAAGTCCAGAACGGGAATCGGCTGCTCACCCGGATCCAGTCGGGCCAGTGGTTGCAGGATCATACCGAGAGGCAACGCGGTGGAGGACAGAAAATCGGATGTAGATGGAATATTATTTAGCGTAAGACGAGCATACTTCGGGGACGAATTGCCTTGGTCGTGGGCCACGAAGGGAATGGCAGCCGGGGGAGGAAGATGCCGTTCCATAGTCGGATAGACGTGGTTGAAATAGTAGTGCGCGGGCAGATCGCGAGACCGAGGGATGCTGGGGATCTGTTCGGGGTCAATCTTGCCCTGAGTAGGGACTGCGCCTGCGCCAGCACTCGCTCCGGCTCCAGCCCCTAAGCCGACGGGCTGAGCTACACCAGCAGCTGGCGAGATAGGACGCGGAGCTTGGTTAAGTCCGGTGTTTAGGAACTGCGATGTCGGCTGTACACCTCCCTGAGGCATTCCAGCAAACGGCTGTTGCGCCGGGGCAGTGACGGAAGCTCCGCCAATATCATGGTGTGCATGTCGATGTTTCTTCTTGTGTGTCCGAGCCCCTCCGTCTCCTGAAATCCCCAATCCACCCATTTGATGTGTCATTCCTGCCAAAGCCGGATCTGTAGGCGCCGCCATCCCAGCCTGCGGGCCTGCATTGTAGCCGAATTGAGGAGGGGAGGCCAGATGCGGGGGTTGCTGCGGTTGTTGCTGTAAAGGAGATGGCGAGCCGTACGGGGACCATTGATTCGGAGCTGCAGCACCGTAGGGAGCTCCTGGTTGAGGAGGAACAGCTCCAGGGCCATAGCCGGCAGGAGGATGAGACAGAGGGGGAACTTGGTGCGCCATCCGATTGGGATCGGAGGGGTCTTCAGCAGGCGCAGGTCCCTGGCCGACAGAGTAATACAATGATGGGTCTGCCATGCTGCTTCATAACGCGGGAAACCGTGGGACTGGGAGAAGGAAAGGGATGATGACTGATCAATGCATCAATCCGTCGACCAAGAGCAGTGATTTCAGACGCGCAGAAGGCGTCTTATATGAAGTTGAGATCGCCGAGGGTCTTGTTCGACATCATCAACAACTGACCACCTAACAATTAACCGGATTTACGTCGCTCCGATGCTGCTCCAAATAGGTGGTTTGTATACATTCCGAGCTATTCCAGCCAAAACCACAAAAGTACGACTGATGATGTCTTCATTTTTCTTCAAGGTCATTTATTTCAAAAGCCATGGCCTCAATTCATGACGATGATGAACTTCTCCTGGCCCGTATCGGGTATAAGCAGGTACTTATCGTCTCGGGGAATGTCCTCAATCGGCACTAAGCACAACTCTTTCTAGGAACTGAAACGGGAATTCTCAAAATGGTCCACAGTCAGCTATGCCATCTCCATCTTGGGAATCCTAGGCTCAGTTCCAGCGACCTTTGGAGCTCCTCTGGCTGCAGGGGGACCAGCTACTGCGGTCTGGTGTTGGTTTCTGGGCTCATGCATGGCCATGTGCATAGGCAGCTCGGTCGCGGAGCTGGTCTCTGCGTATCCTACAGCAGGAGGAATGTATTTCGTCACGAAGCATGTTGTTCCCGATGACCAGGTGCCCATCTTCTCCTGGGTGCAGGGCTGGTGCAATCTATTGGGACAGACGGCGGGCGTTTCCAGCGTGGCCTACACGGTCAGCCAGATGCTACTTGCGTGCGCCAGTATGAACTCTGAGTATTCTTACTCTCCGTACGAAACCACTGCCACTAGTGTTGAGGCTTTAGGGTTAATGCGAAGGCAGGACCGCGTTGCAAACCGTCGCGCTATCTATTGTGATTCTGTGCGTGCTGGGTGTAATATGCTCTCTGACTACCAAGACTCTGCATCGGATCGTCTTCTGGTTCGCCCCGATCAATAGTATGTGACTCCTGTCTTGATGGCTAATGGTCGATTCATGGAACCTAACTGGGCAGTCTCCGCAACGATCTGTATCTGCCTTATGCTCTTATACCTCACGCCGGACAAGCAGTCCGCTCGCTGGGTGTTTACTCACTTTACGGATGGCTCTGGATGGGGCTCGAAGCTCTTTTCCTTTCTGCTTGGATTCATATCAGTAGCGTGGACAATGACCGATTACGATGGAACCACCCAGTACGTCCTCAATCTGATTTCCTATGCTTACTCAAGCTCACAAGGAGAACTTAGCATGTCAGAGGAAACTCACGACGCAGCCTCTCTCGGGCCGCTAGCAATCCAGTCTGCAGTTCTGGTATCAGGAATAATGGGCTGGGCCCTGACTATCTCAATGTGCTTCTGCTTGACCGACCTCGACAGCATCCTGCGAACCCCCACGGGCCTTCCCGCGGCCCAAATCTTCCTAAACGCAGGAGGAAAGACAGGTGGCACAATCATGTGGGGATTTGCCATCCTAGTCCAGTTCTTCACCGGCTGCTCGGCCATGCTGGCAGATACACGGATGGCATACGCATTCGCCCGTGACGAGGCCCTGCCGTTCTCCCCGTAATGCACCCGACTCTTTCCCCCTTTCATCGCACAGGAGCATAGCACTAACACGGACAATCCTCAGCTTCCTGTCCAAAATCAACAAATACACACAAACCCCCGTCAACGCCGTCTGGTTCGTCGTTCTCTTCAGCATCGGCCTCAACTGCATCGCCATCGGATCAACCCAAACGGCCACCGCGATCTTCAGCATCACCGCCCCAGCACTGGATCTCTCATATGTCTCTGTCATCCTTGCTCATAGAATCTACAAGAACAAGGTCAAGTTCGTCGAGGGGCCATTCACACTTGGTCAATGGGGCGCAGTCATTAACTGGGTTTCGATCGTTTGGGTCCTCTTCATAAGCACGGTGCTCTTCTTCCCGCCTACCGTGCCGGTCACGGCGTCAAATATGTAAGTCTTGTCCCTGGCTGCGCGAGTTACCGTGAGAGGGATGGCTGACTGGTCAACAGGAACTATGCGATTTGCGTGGGTGCTTTCATCGCTGCGTTTGCGCTTGTTTGGTGGTGGGTGTATGCTCGTGGGTATGTTCCCCCTATCTATGTCTCAAGGTAGCAGTTCCGCGTTAACGCCCCTATCATCTAGAAAATATACCGGTCCGCGGACGAACGACTATATACAAGAGGTTCCCACGGAGGATTTGGACGAGGATTATGGAACCCTGCGTTAGTTTTTAACGAGGTCGCGAGTCGTGACCATCTGCGTGCTTGGTCTGATATGAGTTTGATTCGATTTTTGTCTGGAGTCGCCTCTGAGCGATGTCCATCCCTATCATGTTATAGACGTTTCCAGTTCATCGTTTGAGATTAAAGATGGCTGCAGTTATCACTACTCTGATACCACCATTGCACAACGCCCAGTCTGTTACATGCTACGTACAAATACATCATGAGACATGCCTTATATATCCTGGTATCTCTGTGATCAACTTCCCGCAACAACAGCAAGACCCTCGTAGATCTTCCTCTTCACTGCCAGGAAGCTTCCCGCACCGCGTCCCATGGCCTGGTTCATGGCCGCCGACTGCGCAGATGCCTCGATCTCAATCTTGCCAGTACCCGACTTGCGAACAGCCACCATTCCATCGATGAGCAGTGTTCCCTCACCACGGAACTCCGCCTTGTGTCCGGCGCTCTGCATGACTTTGCGCAGATCCGCCAGTCGAAAGTCACCCACATGCAGAGGTCGAGTCATGGACCGGGTACCAGCCGCCATGTTCGCCGGTAAAATATCGAGCATAGGGAAGACGTCGGATTTGTCCGCCGCTGGCCTGGTTCCGTCAAGCGTGGATGTTGCTGCAGAGCCGGCCTCGTCCTGCAACAACTTTTGTTTCTTGCTTGCCGACTCCTCGGTTCCTTCCTCGGGAGGGCTGAGTTCTGGCCCTCTCAGTTGGGCTGTTAGTGTTACCACACCCAAACTGCGAACGTGCTGCCATTTCAGGCGCCGGACGAGATTGGTGCTCAGCTTGACCATCCAAGCGTTGGTATCAACACTGGCATCGACCATCTCACCGTTCACTGGCGTAAAGATGAGCGCCGAGTCCGAAGACGAAACGTCGACGCCAGCTTTGGCGGCGAGCAGCTTCTTGCACTCTGTCGCCAAGGCGGTGGTTTCCTCCTTCATTCCTCCAACCAAAATGAGTTTCCGCGGCTGGATGAGTGGAATCAGCATCTCTAAACTGCGCTTATCGTGTAGCCCAGTGAAGTCCACAAAAGCAAGACGTGCGTTGATGGTGACTGAGCCCTTCTCGAAAACGGCTTTCGCGGGTCCTTCAAATGATTGCTCATCGGCTTCATCTTCTGATGATATCGCCGCATCAGCACCGTCCGCGTCCTCGGTCAGGCTGAGATCATCGGCGCCACCAGCTTCCCTCTTATGCGCGTCCCCGGCGACCTGTTGCCGCTTGGCTCCGCTATGGGAGGCTCGTCGTCCTTGCGGGCCCACCTCGTCCCACCGTCGTTTTTGGCCCAATTTTGTCTGGGCCTCGGACCGACGCTGCTGCATGTCTGCCTCTTCCCGCTCTTCGGCTCGTAAATACTCCTCGGGCCGAATGAATTCTCCATACTCATCTCCGCGCTTTCTTGGAGCTACATATGGGAACATTCGTTCGCGCCCCTTCTTCCCACGAACGTCGTAGTCGTAGACATTCTTCCGTCGAAGAAGAATGTTCACACCCAGATCTTCGTCGCTAAGACCCAGCTTGTTGCGGTTAGCATGAGCCAACGAGGTAGAAAAGTTCAAGACCCGTCCCTGCTGCTCCGTCTCTGAATCTTCCGACGTAGAGCTTGATCGATCGTCGAGTACATCCGTCGGGTTCTCAAGATTTTCTTGACCTCTTGTCTGCGATGCATCCTGGAGTTGTCTCTTGGTAGCGAGATATTGCTGATAGATCAACTGCTCCCCGGGGTCAAGGGGTGTGCGTCGTACATCTGTCCAGGAGAGCTCCCTTCCGCCGCTATGGACCTGCTCAAGGAGCTCACCGTCTGGGGCTTTCTCCAAGGCAACACCATCCTTTCTCTCTTCATACCATTGCCAGATCATGCTTCCAAGGGTCTCCCTGTGATGCTCATTCTTACTCTCTGATGGCCGTTCTTTGTGAAAGGTTTCGGTCAGTAGGAGCAGGTTGTTCGGTCCCTCGGCTATCAAGCGTAGGGATTCCTTTGCAAATCCCCAATCCAGAGATGTATCGGAAGCAAGAATCACCTTTGGTTTTTGATCCGCCAATATCTTCTCCAGCCTCTTCCTGCGTTCAACTGTCCTGAGATGTTTGAAGGTGAAAGGACCCAGTCCCTTAGACCCCCCCTTGCCCTGGCCTTGGCCACCGGACCGCTGGCCATCTGCATTCGACTGTGGTTGGCCTGTTACAGCATCTACACCTTCCGCTGCTTCGAATTCACGCACAATGTTCTCATCCATCCATTCGAGCATACTTCTCGCCAGCCGCATTGTAGTATGAGCTTTTCTTCCAGCCAGATATAACCCAGCGTTCTTCAAGACATTGTCGCTCTCATTATTTCCGGCCGCCGCATCACGCCACGCATGCTCCAGCGCATATGCAAGCTCCAAGACTCGAGCGCTAGTGTCAGTTGGGATCAGGACAGTACCGCCCTTCGCGAGACTGCTCCGGATCATATCCAGAAGCAAATCATCGCGTTTCTTCCGCCCACCAGGAAGAGCAAACTTGTCTCCTCCCCGGGTGCTGCAGACCAACGCCGTCGGCTTGCGCAGTTGTTCAATGACCTCTGCTCCACTGGCACCTGAGCCTCCGAACCATGCAGCGCCGGCCACAACACTTTCTCGGGCCTGGTTCCAATCCACCGCGTAGACGATCGATTCCATACCATGCTGAATATGCCATATAGTTCCACCCACTGTATGTCCAGCATTGTACGCAGTGAGCGTTAGCCCGTTCAGCGGCGGCGAGAAAGGAGACGAGAGAGGCTGGTGCGGTTGGGAGTACTTCAACGGGTGAATGAGAGAAAAGTATCTGGCAATCTCCTCGGCTGTGGGAGGCTGAAGGAGAATTCGGCCAGCGCTGCTGGCTTCCGTGTTTCCTTCCCCATCTGTGACAGACGCCGCGGCGGACGCGGCTGATGTCGACGCGCCCGGTTCCGAGATTGAAGCTTTAGGTAGAAACGTCGCTGCAAGGGGCGAGGAGGCATACAGATCTTGAAGAAGTGTGCGACCGAGGGCGATGATAGGACTCGTAGCGTAGATAGGTATCTGGGTAAAAAGAGGAAAAGTCTTGCAGCAGTGCACGAAGGCACCGATGTGCGCCGGCGTCGCGTGAGTCAGAAGTATAAGTGACAGGGTAGGAATATGCCTGTTGGAAGTTGTGAGTATGCGATGACGAGCTTGGCTTAGCAAGCTGCTTACTTCTCCAATTCTAGTAGGTCCAACGTATCAAAGGTATCGTCCCAACCGACGTCCACAAGGATTTTAATGCCACCGTCGAGTTCCAAGATAGACTGTGATGCCTTGGAGGAGGACTGTGCGCCCAGCAGGGGAGTAAAGGTAAACATACTGGCGGTCCTTCCAGGCCAACCCAGGCAGTATCTGGTGCAGTAGAGCTGGTTTTAGGATCCGACGATGGGAGCGCTCTCAATTCAGCGGCTGGCCCATAGAGAGTATTGCGAGTATAGAGTATCAAGTCATATCATGTTATCATAGCCGGATAGAACAATGATAAGCACGGCAATGACAGCTGTTTAGGTGCGACAATGAAGACAATAATATGCGATGCGTCCCCGGTGTTCATTTCACTACTAATGTTTGCCTCGTTTGCATTGCGACGCTTCCTTGGAAAGATGCCTTAGGCATGATATCCCAGTTTTGCCAAACACGTGACACTCCTATTTACTCCGTACATCTACTGACATCATGTTTCCTCAATAGCTCACAATAATTGCTCTACATTGCTCGCATGTTTCATGGCTGCTTGACTCCAATTGGATCAAGAAAGATCAAGAGAAAAGTTCGCTTTCTCTTCATTTCACAAATCACTATGACTTTTCAGCTCTGCAGTCGATCACCTGAATCTACACACCCTGATGTCTTCAGAGAATACTTACATTTACTCTACGAATCTTCAAAGTGCTCACCACCTTTTACTTTCAGGGCGACAGTGGCGATGAACATACTAGAGGAGTCTGAGACAGGCTTGATGAAGAACAACATGATGCTTGATCACGAACTAAAATTTTCAAGGCATATTGCAAACAGAAACATCTCAAATCACAAAGCAATCACAAGACAGATGGCGACAGATGGCTTCATTCATCGTGCAGCCTAGCCATTAGATCCCACCCTGATTCGAGTAATCGAGTGGCCCAATTCTAGCAATACCACAGAATTCGCGTAGACGGCAGATCCTATTGCTGTGCGGCTATAGATCTCCTTTCCGGTCGTTTCAATGGTCCTCAAGCGTCTACAGCTCGCAGGGGCAGCGGTTCCCACGTAGCATGTCAGTTCTGAGCCACCGCATACATGCTTGGGCGCATAATCACGACCTTTGCCGAACATGATCTAAGGCCATGCTTATTTTCGATTAGCACGTTTCGGATATCTCCTTTCCGGTGCAGGAGCGGCTGGGCTAGCAGACTTCGCGGTTCCTGCAGTCTTTACGGTGCCAGCAGCCTTTGCCGTGTCAGCAGTCTTTGCCGTGCCAGCAGTCTTTGCCGTGCCAGCAGTCTTTGCCGTGCCAGCAGTCTTTGCCGTGCCAGCAGTCTTTGCCGTGCCAGCAGTCTTCGCCGTGTCAGCAGTCTTTGCAGTGCCAGCAGTCGTCGAATTCTTTGTCGTGCGGGCTCTTTTCACCCTCCCAGCAGCGCCAGTACTGGCGGAGCCATCATTATCGTCAGAATTAGCATTAGGCCCAGCAGCTTGCTTTGGTAAGCCGCTTGCAGCTCTCTTAGCTGTCTGACCTTGTTCCGGATTTCGATCATGGAATGGCCTGTGCTCGAGGGAATGTCGGGGCACGAGATTCAATTCATCCCCTCTGATGTAATTGGGAATTCCGACGCCCGGCCATGTCCTGATGCGCCGGATAACTCGCTGAGGAAAGTGTTTCTCATGATTCTTCTTCAGCTGCTCTAGGGCTTCAGTCACGAGCTTTTGTTCTTCTGATTTCAAACGCTTTGACTCTGACTCTGACTCTGACTCTGTGTCCGGTGATTCCTCCGGCGCTTGTTTCGGCGTTGTGTTCCCGACGCGTTGATCGACACCGGCCTGACCCTGACCCGCAAGTCCCTTTCTGGGACCTACTTTGATCCTCGCAACTTCCCTGATACCTTTCTTTGCAGCCAAGGCACCTACATGACGTTAGTAAATCATTCCAGGTCAAAAATAGATTGCATGCGCCTCGGAGGCTTTTGATTGGACGAATGGGTCATCTCTTACCTGGAGCCTGTACAGCAAATCTTGGCCACAGTTCCGTGGGCAAGCCATTAGTTGGACCATCCAGGTCACGGCTAGTCTCGAGCATCTGACGATTGGGATCCGCATCTGTTCATAAAGCACAATCATTAGCTCATCGGGCCCGATCATGCAAGCTTTTGGGACCAGTGGAATGCCATATGCAAGGGGGAGGTGAGGAATGCAAGCGAGACTGTCTGTTTCTCCGATCATATGGGTTCAATCGAACACCAGATGCATATCACCTTATCATCGGAGAAACAAACCTTAAGTCCGCATTGACACATTCCTAGTTACATCACTTGATGATCTTGAAGACATAGAGGAAAAGACACAGAAACATGCTTACGACCAGAATGATGACAAGGAACCAAATCCACTTGCACTCACCAATTGCAGGCTCTTGCCCGTCCTCAAAGGCTAGCGGTTTCGCAGGACCTGCCTCCTCCGCTAGGCGATTCGCGCCGTACTCGTTTCCGTAAGTACCGATGCCGGGAAGTTGATTCTCTTCATCGCGTTCTCCTTGCTGGCCAGGGTCAAATCCTCTGCTGAACATGCCTTGCCGGATTGCGGGAGCAGGACGTGCGTAGCCCTTGTAGGCCCACCGATAAGGATCATTGAGAGCTGTCGGAGGAGGAACAAGCGGTTTTGGGTAGAAGTTGGTCTCTGGCGGATCTGGAAGAGGTGGCAGAGGTTGAGCGACCCCTTTCACAAACTCCTTGAGAGGCCCGTTCTGCAGGTGAGAGATCATCCACTCCCTTTGCTGGGGATCCTCAAGTCTGAATCTGTGCAAATTATACGACCACTCGTACAGCTGCTCCTTCGTCAGACCCTGCCAGCCAGAAGGTGGGCCGGGCTCAAATTTCCACATCAGGTTGCGCGAACCTGGTGCCTTGGCCAGTTGCTGGTTTCTCAGCTGAGGAACAGGAACAACCACCCACCGAGGGTATGCACCGTGTTCACCGAAAGAGACAGCGAGCCCTGGACGAGATTGGTTAGTTGGATTCTGCTGCACCTGCGCAGCTTTACTATGGACTGGAGCAGGCAGCGCCGGGAAGATCCGGGTCATCATGGCCGCCAGGATTGCCTTGTGTTTTATTGTCTTATCTTTCGTCAGCTGGGCAAGCATAGCCCCTCGAAGCGTAGCGCGAGCATCCTCAAGCACTTCCGAAGAAGGCTGCAGGCCGCGCCGGTATAATTGCCAAGGCTCTTCCAGCTCCGGTTCCGCAGAATCTCGTTCTGTCTCTTCTTCTGTCTCTTCTCCAGACACGCTAGCTTCTTCCACATTTTCAGATTCTGGCTTATCGGAGTCGGAGGGTTTTCGTCTTCGCCCCTGTTGCCGTGTCGATGAGGCCAGCATCTTGGCGTATTGAACGGTATCTTCTGCGATCAAAGACAACTAGATCGAAGACCTAAGGATGTTAGTTTCTTTCCAGTAGAAGGATATGAACGGATTGCACGTACCTATATTGGAGTATCCTTGGGGTATTAGAAGCACACTTTTCGACAATATTGAGGAAACAGGCAGCCGTGGCAGGTACTTTATCTTAAGAAATTCAGACAACTAGGCTTCTGACAATCAATGTCCACTTCAAAATAAAGGTCCATGGACCCTTCAATGCCAAACGTACCTAATTTGGTAAGTTTGGAAAAGTCCTTTGTTCCTGTATGTACCCTAGGTCCAGAACCAAATATCCGCTTGTTGGACGAGACAAAGAAAGTGTATCCGTCCCCACTGAAAGCCCAAAGAAATTAGCATAAACCCTCAGAAGCAGGGTTCCCCAAGAAGTAATGAGGCTAACCAAAGATTGTCGAGTTCAAAGCGCCCAGCAAACTATGCCAGAGGAAAGAAACATCATAGCCGAGCCATACAAGCCTCAAAGGTCATGAGATAATGACATCCAAGAGCCCGCTAACTGAGATTCCAGGTTTCACTCGTCCATCGACATCAGATGAAGCAGAAGGCAAGATTTCGGCGGAAGACCAAGGAAGCAATCAATGAACAGTCACCCTGCCCTGCCCTGACCTGCCCTGTAGGGCGAAGGAAAATAGTTCCATATCTCAGAATTTCCATAACGTCAGTGGCCACTCCCTCTCCCCTAGAGTCGAGGGAGAAAGAAAGCCAAAGAATGGAAAAAATAGACCAGGTTTTGTTCATGTCCCGTTCCATGCGCTTGAACTCGTGCCCTGGGCCTTGGAATGGACACAGGCGCCGCTGAAAAGAGAACGAAGGATCAACAAAGAAAGTTGTAGGCGCATTCCTCGGGGAAAATCCTGCCACCACACCCGTCTGGCTGGATCAGACGCTGGTATGCGATGATAACAGATTGTCAATGTTGTCAACGTAGTAAGGCAAGGTGTAAGTAAGCTCGCTGCTTGTCAGGATTTCATGAACCAGGAAGGCCGCAGGATGGTGAAATCGCCAGTGAAGATATTCTTTCAGACTAGGAAGAAATCCTCTGTTGTACCTAGACTTCGTTTAGTCTTTAGAGAATCTAACAGATTTTCCCTCTTTTAGCTTTTCTTGCCTATTTACTCATTTATGATATAAAGAGTTACGTCAATACTTACCTTATTCCTTGAAGAAGATAAAGAAAATTATAGAAACATTCGTACTTCTTTCTTCCTACTATTATTACTCTATGTTCTTTCACTCAAGTTTCATTCTTGAGGTATGACATAAGGGTAGTATTTGCTTAAAATGTGTTTATATCTTGATACTAGAGGTACCTCTCCATAGCCCTACTTAAGGATTGTCCTCCATTACCTCTCAGCAAACATGCGGTCACATATCCTAAAAATTGGAATAGATTATGGAAAAATAAATACCTCCTCTTATTGAATCCTCTTACGAAGTTACTACAGGTCCTGGTAACATGAAGAATAGTCAGAGGGCTTATAGGCCATGTCTAGAAATGATACTAGTCTTCAAGAAAGCTCCGCAGTTTACATTATTGCTAAGTATAAAGGCTATGTAAGACTTAGCGAAGAAAGGAAACTCTTATGTTCAGTGGGAATCAAAAATACATTATCATAGCGATTAGGCCTGACAGTGGCCACTTGATCCGGTAAATGGCTGACAGTACAGTATAGAGAGGATTGACACCTTTTCCCAGCTGCTTCCGTGAGACAAGGCAGCTTCTGATCAAATCAGATCTATTGCCAGTATCTTGGCTCATCGAATACATGGTAACGGTGACCACGAACGCCCTGGCCACGGAACATCGTGGGGAATCGACGGCTCTCAGCGATCATTTCCTCAGGAATGCGCATTTCGTTCTCGGGCTCAGGCTCTCCGATGACGAATTTGCCAACCTAGTCGAGCGGATTAGCATATAAAAATAGAGCCTGACGGACGATTATGATAGGAACATACCTGAATCTCAGTATCAGTAATGCTATCCCGGCTAATTCGAGCGTAACCTGTCCGCTTCAATCTCTTGTAAAGAATGTATTCGCACCACCGGTCCCAATCTGTCGGGTCGATGTCCTTCATGCCACTGAGCTCGCTGACATACGTGTTGTAGTTGCCTTCGAGCGGCTTGGTAACCAGATAGCTCAGCAAAACCATCGGGCGAGTTGATTCGCCCATGAGCTTCGCCAGATACTGCGACTGTAGACGACGGTCTTCGGGATCTTCTTCCTGTCCAGAATGGAAGACAACAACGTCAACCAGCTCACCATACATATCCAGAGTTGCGTGAATAGCTGGTGCCAGTTCGCCGACGGGCGAAGGAAGCAGATGGTGGGTTGAGTTGATGATGGGGAACTTTGAGAGTAGAGCAGCGCCCCATGTATGCTTGTTGGGACCAGGTCCAAAATCTGCATACATGCCCAATTCTTCCGCCAAAACTTGAGTAATGTCGCGATTACCCATGATGATGCGCTGGTTGTCAGATTCCAGCAGACCGATCACGTCAATCTCAAGCTCCTTGATGACATCGCGCATACGTCGCTCCGACGACCACATATCGTTGTCGAGACCGAAGTGAACCGTCCAGATACCGAGGGTGGCAACCTTGTCCTCTTTGTGATACGGTGTGTAGTCATTGGTTGGGAATCGCAGATACGCGATGGCAATAGAAAGGAGCTGCAGCACGGCGAGGACGTAAACGTAGTACGACCGCTGCCTCCTGCCGTTCGGGTTGATAGTTTTGGCCTTCGGGCTCGAGGAGTTTGTAATTGCGGCAGAGAAGACCCCAGCACCGATGGACAGCATAGTGGCGGCCATGAGCCAGTCTGTGTGCTCTCTAACAAGCGGGCCTCCGGGAACAAACGCGTAAGCAACAACCCATACGTGGAAGAGGATCAAGAAGACGTAGACAAGGCCTCCGAGACCGAACGTCGTGGCGGGAGAATGACGAGCAGCCGAAGAGATCAGAACGGGGGCAACGGCCATGAGATAAAACGCAAGGGTCAGGCCGCCATAGAACCCAGTCCAGTGGCTGTAACACGTAAGCAGCGTAGCACCGAGACAGCCGATGCCGAAAGCAGTCCAGCTTCCTGCTACGCGTGGGCAGAAAAGACCATATACGAGACCGGCTCCCATCGCGAAGATTGTAAGCACACCGTGGGGCACGGCGATCGGTCCTCTCACCGGATATCCCTCCCAGACCCATGAAATCATGGTGCTGGAATCAGACAGAAGAGAGTGCATAGCGAACAAAAGACCGCCAATACCGAACGCGGCAAACAGGGAAGAACCCTTCTTGCCAGTAGAGGGGAAATAGTCCCCTCCACTGGGTACGGGCTTCCTGTGAGATCTGAGAACAGCCAAAATACCAAGGAGTAGACCCATTTTGTTCCATCCGCCATTCTCCGCATGCATAGTGGGCCAGACAGGATTGTTGGTGCTGCATGCAAACTTGGCGACGCTAGACATGATCAGACCAATGCCCCAGGCAAGGATCCGAGACTCCAAGCGGGAACTCTGGGTCTTCTCCGCGTGGAAAATAGCGGACCACGTAAGAGCATTGCAGGCAACACTGAAAGTAGTGACGAAGAGTCTGTTGGTAGGATTCTGCACCTGGTAGGCGAGCAGTCCAGACAGTGACAGGGAGTGGAAAAATCGTGGATACTTGGCCACCGCAGTCTTCAGAGTAGGAATTGCAAGAAGGAGAGGTGACATGTAGGCGATAATAGCGACCTCATATCCAGAGATACCCATATGCCAAAGAGGGAAATCTGACGGTATTAGACATAGTCTTCAAAGAATAGAAGCTAAACTTACACCAAACAAGAAGTCCGAGAGCAGTCGCCATCGACCAGAAGACATACTGCGGTCAGTCAGTAAATGCGCTTGGTGCAAGGAGAATTAATGATAGGTATTACCCCGTTGTAGGCGTCTGCGGCGGCGTCCAGGACTTCAGACCAGAAGAAACCCTCGCCAAAGGTGTTTCCAACAGGCTTGCCCTTCCTAACTACGAGTCAACAGTGAAACCAGAGGGTCTTGGTGAGCGGGAAATACACACTCTTTTTCAAGGACGGAGTCCGCAGTGGTCTTCAACTGCCTAATGTTTCGAAGCTTAGGACATGTTTTCAAATCCAAACAACCAATTTTTGGCCACTCTACATTTTCCTATTTTGCTTGGTTCACTTTGGGAGCCACGGTACATACCCTCTGCTGACCCCTTTCACGTCCCTCACCACAATCTCAAATGCATCAAAGTCCAATGCCGTGACCGCATCGAATCCCACGTCGAACAAGATGAGAGACCACTCGAAGAAGGCATATTTCGTGTAAGCTTGGGAGAGAGTTGTTAGAGCACAGTCTGCCAGACAAGAAACAGGCGTAAACTCACCACCAGGAACCTTGTGCACCTTGTGCTGGATGAAGTAGTAGATCAATGGTACAAGAGTGCCGAAGAAAAGGCCTGCCATGATCTTTCTGTATTTCACAGCGCGGCGATTGTTGGGGCTGAGTGCCAGGCAACCAAGGGTCCAAGGCAATGTCGCGACGAGGTAAGAAATCATGAAGATATCATGCCAGTCATGGTCATCGGTCGACGTGACATACGTCCAACCACCACAGGTGAAAGTCCGGAACAGACCGACACCAGCAACGATCTTGGGAAGAGTCGAGTTGGGCCGTGCAGTAAGAAGATACCAAAGGAAAACGAGAGCGAATCGAGGACCGGAGGTAATGGCGATGAAGACTTGAAAGAAGGAGCGTTCCGGGTATCGATCACCAATTGTAGCTGACACAGAAGGGAACCATTCATCTGGATATCCATAGTGTTCGTTCTGCACGATCTTGTGGAAATGCAGGGACATTCCCACTACCAGAGCGCTCAGGAAGGCCGTATAGGCGACCGCAGTATGTGTCCATGATACCCATTTACCATTGACCTGACATTGACTTAGTGAATGACCTGGAACTATTTGAGTTTGTATCAGCTTACCGCCACAACGGCATCCCCATCTTTGAATTTGGGAGCCATAGTAGCGCAAGAAACGCAGGGGCCGCACTCCGCGCGTTCGAACAGTCAAAAAGCTACGACAGAGGGGAAAAGATTATAAAAGAGCGTCAAGAATATAAACGATCAAAGAGAAAGAATAAAAACTAATAGGAAAAGAAAAACTGTCAGCAATCAGCGGAACCCCCTGAGGTGTGAAATGGCCAGGTTGGAACTCGGTAACTTGCGGAGCCCGCGGACACATGCAACCATGACACGATTCCCGGAAAAGAAGGCGGTCACAGCCCACAAACAGATCGGAGATATCGAGCGGGATGCCGACAACTTTTTCTGGCCTGCCTTGGAGGACTTTTGCGAAACGTCTTTGACGGTCTTCTGCAGCAATAACAACCATCATGTCGGCCGCAACAGATAAAGCGCGCTTCTACCTGGAGCAGTCGGTGCCAGAGCTCAAGGAGTTTGAGAAGAAAAAGATATTTAGCAAGGTACGAGTCGTCAACCAGCCATTTCACAAAACATGGTCACTTACAATGCTCTTCTTCAGGATGAGATTACCTCCATTGTCAAGAGACGGTCAGATTTCGAACACAAACTGAACGCCCGCGGCGCTCAGCCATCCGACTTTGTGCGATATGCGGAATATGAGATGAATCTTGACACTCTGCGACGCAAGAGAGTGAAGCGACTAGGTATTCGGTCGGCGGGCCATTCGGGTCAAAGACGGATTTTCTTCATCCTTGATCGAGCTACTCGGAAGTTCCACGGCGATCTCGGCCTATGGATCCAGTATATCGAGTATGCTCGTCAGCAGAAGGCATACAAGAAGCTTTCGACGATCTTCACGAATGCTTTACGGCTTCATCCTACCAGCGTGGACCTATGGATATACGCGGCACAATACAATCTGGATGATCATGCAGATATGACAATGTCGCGAAGCTATATGCAAAGAGGACTGAGATTTTGCAAGAGCTCAAGGAAATTGTGGCTGCACTATGCGAAACTCGAATTGATCTACATCGCCAAGCTTGTCGCTCGACAGCGGATATTGGGCTTGGACCAGAAGACTGAAACGCCTAATCCGGCCGAAGAAACTGGATTTGATGACCCTAATGCCGATATGATTGTTTTGCCTAAAATCACTGGGGAAGATATCAACCCTAGCACTGGAGACGAAGACGGAGTTGATCACGTTGCTCTGCAAAATCTGAACTCGACACCCGCTCTGAGCGGCGCGGTTCCACTGGCCGTCTTCGATACAGCGATGAAGAACTTCAACAACGATGACCGCTTCGGTCTCGAGTTCTACGACATGGTCTCCGAATTTCAAGACTTACCGTGCCTGCGCAAGATCTTGGGACATGTGGTTGAGGTGATGTTGCAACACAGACCAACCAGCTACCGTACACATATCTGCAACATCAAATTCCCAATCGCTGGGATCCGACCCACATCTCCCGAGTTTCCTCGGGCATTGCGTGCATCTCTTGCTCTTTTGAAGGAGCACCGGCAAGATCCAAATGTCGCCAAGGAGGTGGTCAGCTGGCTGCAACCGTTCCAGACGACAGAGGACTTGGACCCTGCCTTGCAAAAGGTCATTGCTGCCACCATCCACAATGCCGAGCGGGTCCTTCAGCAGGAGTAGACTTTGCGTATTCAGTTCTCCATTGCAGGCGTTCCTCAGGGTTGTTTAGGGTCCATAAGCAAAGAAAGACGAAGCTTGTTCTCTCTTCCAAGGTGTTTAAAAGTTAGCTTCCTATCACTCATCATACTTATTACCCCGCCTGTTGCTCTTCTTGCTGCTGTGCAGTTTCTTTGCCTTGATCCTGGCCTCATTTTCAGCCTTTTTCCTAATGCAATTGTGAGAGCTGTTCGATATCCTGTAGATAATGCATATGACAAGGAAGGGATCCTACAATTTCTGGACTTTTTCCCGTTGCTCTTCAGATGTTTCTCCAGGAATTACATCTTCTGCAGTCGTTTTCAACAAAAGGTGGAGTTTCTCATAGCAAGACTCCACGTTGGCGGCCTGTTTCCGCGACTCTTCAGACTGGATAACCAGCGTGTGTGTTCTCTCGGCGTAGTAACGGGATGACCGGAGATGAGGATGAAGGATACGCGGCACCAGAGGCAGGAGAGACTGGAGGGGTACTTTCAATGTGGCTTTTGAGTTTACCCTATTGGGGAAATGCGATGAGATGTTAGTCTACTGAGGCGTACGTCCTGAGTCCTCTGACGTGGTCTCGGCCAGCCAAATGAGGCTTGATCAATGACCTTAGTGCAGGACAAAGCTCCAGGGGAGAGGAACGGACTTGTTAACATTCTGACCCCCAGGACCACCGGACCGGCTAAAGGAAATTTCGCAGATGTCACGAGGGACTGTGATTGTCTTTGAATTGAGCTTGGTAAGCCACTGCCGAGCAGCGGTGAGGTCCTTTTCGTCTGGTTCGGTGTCGGTGTGGTTGGTATTGTGATTATTGTTGTTATTGTTGGCGGCTGCTCGTCTGGAAGCAAAGGTTCTTGCTATAGTGGGACCGGCGGGGGCTTTGCTGAAAAATCGAAGGAGTCGGAGATAGGTTCGAATGGTTGACATATCTCGTGACAGTTAGAATTTTTTTTGACTAAGGGTTCTAGTCTTGTGGCCGGTTGGTAAGTAAGCACCTTGTACAGGGTAATTCGGTAGTTATACTTATGAGTAGTAGTACTCTGAGTAGATTAAGGTAAAGACTAGAAAGACATCGAATTAAAGGCGGAGAATGAAACCATTGACGGATATGAACTAGGTACATATGACAGTAAGACTGTCGCAAAGATACCTTAGATCCTCGGCCGGGCTTAGAACTTACCTAGTCTCTGCTGCTCTCTGGTCTGTCTGGGACTCGTTCTATGCTAAAGAATTATTCGGACTGTATCGATAGATGGAGTAAATGGAGTCCGTCTTAAGGAAAAAGCACTCATGTTTCTTAATTGCTACCACTAGTTCTAGAAACTCAGATGTATGCCAGACAACGGAAGGGTACTTTGAAGCTATCGAAACGCCATATTTGCAACTTTCAAGTCTACATAACAAGCGTTTCCCTTCAAATTCTGACCTAGATAGCCACCATTCATCACGAGATATTCCGTAGATAGCCCCTCCGGCTCTGATGCGAGTCTTCCTCAATCCTCCCTCACATGAACGAAGAACCCATTGGCTGTCGCCAGGAGAGCAGCGGGAAAACTCCGTGATCGATGGTTCTGGACCCTTGGAAGCGTCGAGATGAGAGGTTTACTTGCAAGCTAGTCTGGTCTGTGACTAATAATTAGACGATGCGATGGTATCAAGCCGGCAAAAATAGGTACTAGGACATGGCGCTAGGGAGTTAGACTAGATGGGGTACCTTAAGAACCTTACTATGGATAGCTTCCAGTTCCAGCAATGCTTCTAGCAGATCCAGATGGTTCTTGGTTCAACACTAGAATGCATAACCCGTCCAGTCAGAGCTTAGCATGGGAGTCTGAGGATGCCAGAAAGCAATCATGCGTAGTCTACATAGGTACAGAGAAGATATCTGCCACTCCTCTCTGATGATGGAGCCACAATCGCCTTCCAGGATAATCATACTACTAGTACTAGATAATAATCTTACGCGTAGATTTCCCGTAATAATTCTTCCACTCAAACTCCTCGCTTTCTTGACCGAGAATCTTCTCTCCTTCCTCTCGTCAAGTCCATGTGTTGGAGTAGTTGGAGACCTTTTCCAACCGACGTACTGATCGAGTTATCCATTTCACCATTTCTTGTTATCTCCTCATTTGCTTCCGTCATCTCAACTTCTCCCTCAAGCGGAAACTACCTACTACGCTTTCTATTCTTATTCCATTTCCTCCTCACTACTATCCCAATCTCTCTTACGATCTTTTTTCTGCAAGAAAAGCCTCCGAGTGGGCTCGCTCCAACTGATTTGGACCCTTTGTTCTACTCCTCTCCGCGCTTCCGCCTTACCGCCCTGGGATAAGAAGAAAAAAAAAGAAAAGCAGAAAGAAGGGCCCGGTTCTTTTTGCAAAGATAGCCCCACTCGAGCTAGTACTTCGATTGCGAAAACTCCCCCTCTCATCGCCTTGTGCCCTTTGCAGTCTCTTGCGGTCTTTGTAGATGAAACTGATTCACCCTGTCTGTTGTCTACATGACGCCGGGTTCTCCAGATGAAGCCCTTCACTTTCGAGGCAAAACTCTGACTCCAGAGAGCCCTCGTCCGCTTCACGTCGCGGAACCGACCAAGATCCCTGTGCTGCAGAACCAAATGGACCCAGTGTTCAATGATACGTCGACTTATTTTGACACGCCCCTGTCAGACCTGGAAAATGGTTCCCTGATGCATCCTCATCATCATCATCACAATGGACAATATGCAGGTTCGGAGAATGTGACGAGGCATCAGGCGCCCATACAGGGGTTGGACCATCATCACTATCAACAATACCAACAACCACCACCGTCGACACAAACACAAGGTAGCTTTCACACTGGTTCTTTGCAGGCGGATGATCGATCAATGGACAAGAAAAATGAGACTTCACTTTCTGCGGGGACAGCAACTGCTAAGCCTTCCCTTCCATCAGATCAGTCTGCAGTAGCAGACGAGGAGTCCTCTACTGCGCCGGGCATAGCAGCGAACTCATCTCTAACTGTTCTTCCTTCATCAGATCCCGCTGCCCCTCTAGCTCACCCTAACCCCGATGTCCCTTCCTCTTCCTCCTCACAGGCTGCCCAGATCCTGCCCGTCGCGAACGAGGTAAATCACGCCGTCGCCAGCTGGACCGCGCAGTCGGCGCAGCATGATCGCTTAGATTCCCAAGCAAAATCCGAAGATAATACTGGTGAGGGTGGTGTGGACTTCCAAAACCTGCTCGATAACCTTCCTCCTCCCTCTACTGCTGCTCCATTTGCCCCCCTGCCCTCGGAGACGGCCCCTTCGTCTGCGGACGACGTCTCTGAAGCTCCTCAAGGCCTTCCCCCTCGTCCCCCACCCCAGGAGAAGCCCACCATTCATCCTAATTACCATCCTAGCGATGATATCCGTTCGTATCATCAACTCCACCCTCACCCTCCCAGCACATCTACCACCTACCCTTCCCAGCAAAGTAATTATCAGTCCAACTTAGGGCTGCCTTCCTTGGCTGCTTCTGGCGCTCCCGGAACCGCGTCGGGCGCCAGCTCATTGCCTCCACCCCCTGGTCCCAGCTTCCAGCAACCGCCCCCCTCTACCGCAGAATCGTCTCAGGAGCCCCCTGCAACTGCGACTTCTCAGAATGGTCGCGTCGAGAAGCCCGTTGGTCGAGTGATCAGACCCGGGGACGAAGATGTTCCGTGGGGTCCAGACGTACAGAAGAAATATGATCAATTCCTGCATGATGAGAGAGTGTACGTAACGGAGGGACTCTGGGATCGCTTCCCAGCGGGGTCCCGGTTGTTCGTGGGTCAGTACTCTACCACTTTTAATTAAAGCCCTTGGTATTCGACCCTTAGCTAACCCTTACCGACAATGCAGGTAATCTGCCAACGGAGAGAGTCACAAAACGAGATTTGTTTCATATCTTTCACCAATACGGCAAACTAGCCCAGATATCGATCAAGCAAGCCTACGGTTTCATCCAATTTGTCGAAGCCTCCGCCTGCAAGCATGCGCTCGATTGTGAACAAGGAGCTGTGATAAGGGGTAGGAAAATCCGTAAGTTGGCCCTGTAGACTCAGCGGGAAATTCGGACCTGGATTGACTCTGTCTTACCCAGACCTTGAGATTTCAAAACCGCAGAGGAATACTCGGGCAGGCCCCGCGCCACCCGAACCTTCTCGCGGTCCTCCACCTCGACGGTCCAGGTCGCCGGAATACAGCAGAGGCGGTCCTCCCAGCAGCCGTAATCCGAGGGGATCAGGAGATCGCTATGATCGGCCTTACGAGTCAGGCAGAGTCCCGTTTAGTGACTTTAGAGATGAGCCGAGCCACCGCAGACGCGACGATTATCGACCTCCTCCACGATCACCGTCCCCTCGTCCGTTCCGTGGAAGAGATGGGTACAGATCCCGGGATAGAACTCCTGAACGATACGATCGACGCGAGAGACGCCGTTCTCGGTCACCGTATGGGAGAGATAGACGATATCGGAGTCCTAGCCCCAGGGGTCGCAACACATACGACAGTGATACGGACTTGCCAGTGCCCAGGAGAGCCCCAAGAGATGTCCCGGACGTGCAGATTTTGGTTCTTGAAGAAGTTGATCGGTAAGTTACAACATCAAGTTCACGCCTTTGTCGATGGTGCAATTCTGATGTTTCCTTTCAGTAACTTCATCTTCCACGTGGAGAATGCCTTCCGCAATCGAGGTCTTCGGGTCGATGTCCTGGTGTTAGGTCCTCGCATACCACTGAACGCGGCAGTTCAGCGGCAGATTAAAGAAGGGGTTCTTGCTGTTGTGAGGCTGTCTCGTCCGAACCAATTTTCAAGGAAGATACCGTTGCAGGTGTTCGACCGCAGTGCTGGGTCAGACAATGTTCGTTTCAATGGTGAGTAACCCTTTTTTCAGTCATCTCTGTGTACGCAACCTTGTAGGCTCATGCAGTTATGTACAGAATATCCAGAAGTCGAGCCCAACATCGCCGCTGAGATCGTCTTTCATGCCCAAGCCATGCAACGCGGTGCTCCTTCACTTCCTTTCCCAACCAACCCCGCGTTCGCCGTGTCGACACTTCCCACAGCGCCCATTCCTCAGGCACCATTGCCGGCACTTTCTAGTTCTTCCAATGTCGCGAATATGATTTCGTCTCTTGATGGGCCTACCCTTCAGTCTCTCTTGAGTACACTACAGCAGCGACAGCAACAACCTATCCCCACTGCACAACCCTTTACGGCTGCCAGCATGCCTCATACCACTGCAGATCTCGCAAGCCTTTTGAGCGGAGTCACGCGGCCATCGATTCCTACGAATCCTCAACAACACCTGCCTCCGCAATACTCGGTCCCAGCTACCAATGCTCCGGTGATTCCAGATCCCAATCTGATCTCATTGCTTGCTAAGGGCCTGGGTGGACAGCAGCAACCACAGCAGCAGAACTTGGCGGGTATGAGTCCTCACGTTCAAAACATTATGAATCAGTTAAGCAAGTGGAAACAATGATCGACGATAATTCATTTACATGTACATTTCCCATATTTCTCTCTTTTCTCTTCGTTTGCTTCTATTCTGGAATTTCGGAATACGAGGGAGCCTGGCGTTTCATTCACGATTATCAGTTGAATCGATTAGTCATGGGTCGATCTGGCCATTGTTCACGGCTTTTATGGCTGGTGGTTGGCTTTGATGCTACTTTTCTATTTCGTCCAAGACGTTGCGACGGGAGTGCAGGGTTATCCTTTCGAGGCATAAAGGGTTAGATATGGGAGGAAATGGCTTCCGCGTCTGGGCTGTGATGACATCTTCATGGATTACCTCTTACCTCTAATCTCACTGCGTTACCTTAAGCGAATTCTACCCTAGCGGTAGAGCAATAGGACGATTTTGATATCAGATACTGCACAATGAGATAGCTGGGTAGATACGAGTATTATACAAGATCTCATTCAACAGTCGTTATGAGAGGCGATATAATGTGATATAGTACATTCATAATGGGTAATCTCCTCTTCTTTCCCCCCCCTGCATCTTCAGCGATAGCACACGCCTCACCTCGGCGTCCAACCTTGTGCCTTGAGATCCGCAACCTTGGCCGCATCTTCCTTCTTGATGCGCTCGATCGTCTTGTCCCGGTTATATTCCATTACCCGCTTCTCCTTGAAGTATTTGACCTATGCAGGAACAAGGATCAGAAACCTATCTCCCGAACTACTCAAGACTTGGTAGAAGATACATACCCAAGCCTTCGCGCACGCCCCCTCAAACTGTGCCAGTTCCTTCCCACATTGGCGCCGCGCTTCTTTATCTTCCTTGATCGAGTCGACGATGTTATTCTTGTCCAGGCATGAGAAGAATAGATCCCGGCCTTCCCAGCACTTTTCGCGGGAGGTTCGGTCGGGGGCTATGCGGCCGCCGTCGGAGGCTTTGGTGGAATTGTCTGAGGACCAAGGGAGCCAGCCCATTTTGATCAAGGTATATTAAATAAGATTGAAATGGTAAATATGGGTACAGTGGAAGAAGATTCAAGAAGTAGATTGTCGCAAAAGTGATTCTGTAGGTCTTGGATGTCTCCAGTTCCGCTGGGATTCCGCATTGGCGGCTCCGCGTGGCTTGTGGTCTGTGGCGCTAACATGTCATTTGCTGGGACAGCTTCAACTCGTCTTCTATCTAGGTTTCATCGTCAGTTGACTCGACCACGGGGAAACAACAGCCTAAGTCAAGAGAATAATGTTGACTACTGCCTACAAATTACGTACTTGAACCTGCATCTACTCGACATCTACACCCGCACTTCATCTGTCAAAAGTCCGCTTCAAGACTGTCCAGCCCGCTCGCTCGTTCTCAATAAACAATATTCGCACCAGGGTCGATACATTATCAATAGTTCATGCCCCCGCGCCGACGGGCTCCTGCGGGGTCCCGAACAGACCTTCCACCGCTGAAGATTGTTCGAAAGATCCTTCTCCTGCAAACTGCCTACTATGTCTCCGCTACGGCCTTGATTCTATTCACGACTTTGGTCTACGGAACGGGGTTCTCGCTCGATCTGGTTTTCAGCTGGGATGCCTTAAGGGGGGACACAACAATAGGGTGGATGCTGGGGTTAGTATGGATGTTGAACAGTCTACTTGGGTATGTCTATGCCTTTCGCTCCTGCAAGAGCTTGGTTCGCTAACTGGATTTGATCGAAAGCGTGATCTTCCTACTCCTCCTCGTCTCTCGCTCAAAGCTCATCCCTGACTTCGCCTTAACAATCCACTTCTTCCATCTCATCGCGACGTCGTTCTACACCCGTTCAATACCCCGCAATTGGCTCTGGTGGGGTCTGCAATGCGCCAGCGCAGCTCTGATGACCTTTCTGGGTATCTGGGCCTGCCAGTGGCGGGAACTCAAGCCTATCACGTTCGGGATAGCGGGCGGTAGGGGCACAGCGCAGTCGTCTTCTAGTACCTCCCAACCGCAGACCGATGATGTCGAAAACCAACCGTTCTTGCCATCACGGGGACGCGGCCGAGGGCGGAATCTGGGTGAGGGGAGTGGCGAGTACGAATTGACGGAGATGAAAGGTGAGCCGGCTGCATAATGTTCTTGTGGGCCTTGGACGACTCTTTCCGCTTCTATTCTTCATTTCATCATTAATTTTGGCGATCCGGATACGTCGCTACGTTGCATCGTTACCATCATCATTGTGTATACCCTGGCTGGTTGGATTTGTATAGATGGCGTTGGAGTGGACAGTGGATTCCTGTGCATTTCTTGTGGATGAGGATATGTATCAGGAGACGATAGCGCCATCATGATATGTGCAGGCACATTTTGTTTAGGTTCTAATAGGATTGATTCTTTGGCGCTTGACGTTGACTCGAAACTTGGGCTCTGGGGCGAGGCAGTAGTGCGATGAACAGTGTTACCAATCAGTTGTGTCTCGATCTCTCCACGAATCCTTCAGTCGGAGAATAGTCCGCTGAAGATACCGGGTACATCTTCTTTGCGTCGAATCACGAAGCTTTTGCGCCTTCTGCTCGACAAGCGATGAGGCAAGTCAAGTGGGGGTTCGGAGTTGACCCGCAGACTCCGCTTCAAGTGATGATAAGACGATTGTATAGATAAAGAACTGGCTATATGATGGGAGAAAGGTATCATTTAGCGAGATATATGAGGAGCTACCTTACCTCTTGATTATTATCGAGTTTAGTGCTACACAATCTCGCTCACTGCAGAAATCCGACTTCTGTCTACCTCTATACCCACGGCGATTGATCCAAAATGTCAACTACGACGATTACTGAAACCGGGAAGCAGATGGTTGTCGTCACCCCAGAAAACAAAATCACTCCTGCCGCAGCAGATGAAAAGTTCCAGGCCATCGCACGCGGCAATCGCGAAGGCACGCTCAAGCTCCAAGGCATCCCAACCTTCTCCGACCCCTACGAGCAGCGTAAATGGATGAAAGAGCATATGGCGGCTGCGTTTCGCTTCTTCGGAAAGCAGGGCTACGGAGAGGGAGTGTCAGGTCATATCTCGATGAGAGGTGAGGGCAGTCATGGACAGACGTGAGTCCGCACACTGACTTCTCCACAGACCCCGTCCTCAAAGACCATTTCTGGATGAACCCGTTCGCAAAGCATTTCTCGACCATCAAGGCTTCGGACCTGGTTCTGGTCGATAGCGAGGGTTACGTGACGAAGGGAGGGGCGCAGCTTCCCATCAACGAGGCGGGTTTCATGATTCACTCTGAGATTCACAAGGCCCGTCCGGATGTGGTGGCTGCTGCGCATACGCATGGGATTTATGGGAAGACGTGGAGTGCATTCGGGCGGCCCATTGAAATGCTTTCTCAGGGTATGTACTGTATCTATACCGGTGAAGGTTTGTGGCTGGAAAACGCTGACGGTTGCTGTAGACGCCTGTAACTTCTACGGGAAGCTGGGCGTATATGACGATCACGGTGGTATTGCACTAGCCCAGGAAGAGGGCGCGCAGATTGCAAACGCTCTAGGCGAGAGTAATATCGCCTGTATTCTGCAGAATCACGGGTATGGGAAACTTCTTGTTGCTCCCAGCGTTTGTGCAAGAGCTGATCGTCTCCCAGTCTGCTGACGGTTGGTCACACCGTCGATGAAGCTGCGTTCCTGTTTTTCAGTTTGGATAATGCATGTCATTCGCAGTTGATGGCCGACGCCGCGGCTGCGAATGGAGTCCCTAAGAAGATTATCAGCCATGAGGTGGCGCAGTATACTGCCGACGCTGTTCAGAACCCAGTAGGTTTTCTGTGTTATTTCTCAGAGTGCAAACTGACATGCCGCAGCATAATTTTTATACCGAGTTTCAGCCTGAGTTTGAGTTGATCGTGGAGGAGAGCAATGGCCGGGTTCTTCAGTAATAGAGACCTGGTTAAATCCCTGTAAGGGATCAACTGGTCATCAATGTAGCAATCAAACCCTAAATTCAGCGGCCTTGTTATAAAGCTCCCATAATGTGAGAACCGTCTACTGAGTGGGAGCAGGTATCATCTGAATGCCTTCACAGCGCTTTAGGGAAAGGAAAGGGGCATGACTAATAAAATTCACGTGACCGACACATGGCATCTGAGTATCCCAACGGCATCAAAGAGTAATTAATCAACACCCTCAATTCTAGGTACAATAAGTGCTACTCGAGACTATTGTCGCTCTTTTAGAATTATTCAGCAAGATCGGAGATGGTTCCTCTAAAATGAGATTTTTTTGACTTTCTGTGGTTGCATCAATTGAACCAGACCCTTTGCAACTATCCATCCACCTCCTACCTGTCATTTCATCTTGTTTTCTTGTTTGATACCCATTCTGCGCTGATCTTATTTTTTTTACTTGTGTTGTTGCGCCCATTCTTCCAGATAGAGCGATTTGGCTGCATATACTATGGACAAGATGGCAGACAGCGAACCTTCGTACATAGATTACGAAGCCTTTTTGGACCCCGACTTCTCACCAGCGTCATTTGCCAATGCCTTGGTCCTGGCAACCAACAATGCTACAGACACACCATTGGACCTTTCCACACCACTGTCACGGGTGCTATTTGATCTTCAAGAGATCGATACTCACATCCACAATCTAACGAGCAAGTCAGCTCTCCCTCTGCTTACGCACACGCAGGATCAAACCGCTGCTGCAGAGCGGATTCTCAAGGAGACAGAGGAGCAAATATCCTCTGTGACGAAAGGCTATGAGCGCCTGGAGCAGGAAGTTTTACGAAAATGGGAGGCCGCAGACGAAGCCAGAGTGGCTGCGGAAAAGTCGCTGGCAACGGTGCGATTAGCGAGAGCTGTCGGGCGTTGTCTGGCTCTGGGCAGGCAGTTGGAGGGTCAGCTTTCTGAGGTGACTGGTCGGGGTGGCCCAGCTGTGACTGCAGGAGCACACGATCGTCCCTCTCCCAGTCCTGGCAGAGAGGACTACCGAGCGCTGGAGCGAGCCGCATCTACCATTGTGAGTTTGCGACGGATGTTCTCCGCTACCGTCGTGGGAGAGGAAGGCTACGGATTGGAACGTGTCAAGGTCATCCGGACTTTGAGGGGAGAGCTAGTGATCCCGGCCGAGAACATGGTCAAGGCACGAGCGCAACAGACTATCAATCGCTTCTCCATCTCCTCCATCGCGGCGGGCTCGCATTCTCAAACCGGATACCGCCAAGCCCGGGACGCGCGAGCCCGGCTGGTTTCCGCCGTTACCGTCTTGTATCTTCTGTCTCCAGTCCCGAAGATGTTGACTTCGCCAGCCAGTTTTCAGCCAGAGCTTCTGCTTTCTGCATTGCAAGGCTATATGCACACGGCCATCGTGGCGTCCCTCAATGCTCTTTCCCGAGCGCTAACCATGCTTCCGAGTCTCGAGCGGACGCTGTCTGAACTCTCGGGACGATGTCAGGATATCTTTGCACTAGAGGCGATTCTCAGCAGCCTTCGTCCGCCAACGCACCCACTTTTACCCGCTTCGGCTCCTAGCACTGGCGACAGCAATGGTACAGGGGTTCGAGCGCAAGAAGTGACCTCCAAGAACAATCTTCTCCAGCCACTGCTGAACGCTTTGGATACAACGTCTCTCCCTTCGTACTTTTGGCGATCATTAGCTTCGTCCTTGGCGCCGCGGGTCCAGGAGGTTCTCAGTCGGGGCGGTGTTTCAGCACGGACGCTCCGGTCAAATCGGGATCGGCTCAGGAAGGATATTAGGGAGTGCGTCCTGCGGGGCTCACAGCTCCCAGCCCCAACATTGGTGACAGACAAGCGGACAGGAACTGAGGCTGGGAACTGGGAGAGAGAAGCAGCGGTGATGGTTGGGTCTGTCGTGGGTGCGTTGGAGAGGTAGATCGACGATGTACAGGAGTGACAGGCAATCCATTGACATCATCCTTCAATACTCAGCCTTGCCATTGCATTAGGGCCCTTTGGAATAGCCTCTCGGCTATGTAATGAGCAGCGCCAAACGCCATCAACGAGTCCTGCCGCTTAGGCATACCCTTGTTCGTCCAATTCATCTGGAAATGACGTGCGCCTTTGATCATTCAGATATATTGGATACACGCAAGCACAAGGCGCAGCAACTACGCCATTTATGGAAGAGCAAATCGTTGGTGAGAGCTAGTACTAGCGGCTATACCATCTGGCCCTAACGAATCTAAGATCTTACCCCGGCCAGTAGTCGTTGTCACTCAACCAACACTATAGTCAAGGCTATGTCTTCGAAAACTCAAGCAATTTATCCTGGGGTATGCTATTTTAGCGTTGTCTTCGTCCATAAATCTCTCCAAATCTGCAAGGCTGGCAGAGTGTCTTCGTCCCTGTCTATCTGCTCCAACTGTACAGAATCCTATCCAACATTTGCCTAACACAATGCATCTGTCAAGCATTATCATCTATTTGAGCCTAACCACTGCGGCAACGGCCATTCTCTCCTTACGCACGGTTAAAGACCCAGCTCGCGAATACCTCACCTCAGTCTGCTACCCAAACTACTCCAACAACACCCGCTTCATCGCCCTCAGGCTAGCATTAAACAACATCACCTCCTCACTCGCCAACTCCCCGTTCCCCTGCGAGCAAGCACTCTACATCGAAAACGCCTGCAGCGCAAACGGCACCACGGAAATCGACTTCCTTGCCGAACAAGAATGCCTCTGTAACGGCGCATATTTTGACGTCCTCGCAGGGTGCGACGCATGCTATTACGAACACGGGTACACCGCCCTCCCGCCGGCCGAGGCGTCCTCGTCGCGGTCTTCGCTCAGCGTGGCCGAGTGCGGCCCCACGCCGCCCTACCAGCCTTTCTCGAATCTGCTTCCCGCGGTGAACGCCACGTCGATTGAGAATGCGCCGGCGATCACGCTGGGGACGGATCGGTTCCCGAACAATACGGCTGTGAGCAATTACTGGACGGCAGCGGGGCCGGTTACCCCGGGGGCCATTACGGGGAGTGCGACGGGCAGGTTGACGAGTTGGACGAATTATGGG